GTTCTATTTAGCTCAAACCAGGACAAGGAGACACTAGCATCCAAAGCTTCATTGTACTTAACCCCAAAAGCACTTGTGTATTGGAAATACCTTAAGTAGGCCTTTTGTTTTCATTTCTTTACAATTAATTTTTTTCACTGTGAGGATTCTTTTGCAGAAAGAACATTGCTTCATCTGAAGCTAATTTTGAGCAGTCACCTTTACAAGGTGTGCTGGTTTTTGTAAGCTTGACTGCTTATGTTTTGAAAGTATTCCTAATATTCAGGCTATGTACCACAGCACACCTATGGGAAATCATACCAAGCGCACACCTTAATTTCTCACAGCTCTCACTATGGCATCTTTATGTTGGCAAGTTATAATGGTCATACAGATCACCTGATAATCTCAGGATTTGTTAACTTTATAGGCAAATAGTCTAATGGGGTTATTTTTAAAATAATTTCACTGGGTCATACTTGAATAGTTGTGAAGAGCGTTGCATTTTTTTACTGTCAGTGACAGTTGCAGTCAGTTGATTCCTACAATAGGAATGAGGCATTGTATCAAAAAATACAAGTAGATTTCCTGTGTTAGGCAGGATTCCCTTACCCACTTAAAAATCCTCTTGTACGCTGGCAAAAGGAAATAATTCTAATCAGGTTAATGTAGTGTGATGACTGAGCAGTTATGTTTGAAGCAAGAAGACGATTTAACCATTTGAGTGCAGAGTAGGTCAGCGGCTTTCAGCATCCTTTAGTGACTTTTCTGGTTTCAAAAGCCTATACAAAGTCTCAGCGACGAGCAGTGATTTAAGTAGAATTTATCGAGGCTGTGCTGTGGTGTGTATAGAAAGAAACAAACTACTTGCATGGAGTTAGGCCAGATTTTTTGCTGTACCCATAATTAGCAAAGTAAACGATATAAAAACAGACCGGTAAGTATATAATAGCTTTGAAAACATTTCCTGGTCTGTTGAAGACATAACAAATTTAAAAGATATACTCATTGATGATTTCCCTGCTTCTCTTTGGAGACTATCCCATAGTTTAATCATTGGCATAGGCAGTGTTTGGTGCTTTTTAAACTGATTTTTGCAAATGTTCCTTGCCTCTCGTTGTCTTTTTGCTCTTCAGCAGAAAACATAAAGGCTTTTGACCCTTTTGCATGAGCTCAGCATGTTGCACAGGCCTGTCCTCAGCAGCCCTGGGAAAAGGTGGAGAAACCAACACCTGTCAGGCTCTGAAGAGCGATTTCAGACGTTGTCACATTTGTGCCTTGGAGTTTGTCAGCTCGCTGACATGTTCCGTGAGACGCCGCTGATTTTGAAAACATGGCAGGGGAAGCCAGGCAGGCTTCAGAATCTGCGCAGTTTTGCCTGCTGGCTCCTTGGCAGCCTGGGCTTCCTGGCTCCCTGGCAGCCCGCCTGGAAGCCTGCAGCATTTGCCAAGTGCCAGGGAGCTCTCAGGCGCTTGTGAATTCCTTCTTTCTGGCAGCTCTGGAAGAACAGCTCACTGGCGAGGTTGTCCTGAAATCACTTTCCAGAGTGTCTCAGTTCCTCTAGGGTGAGGTAGAAAATAGGAGAGGCTTCAAAACGTCCAAATTTTTGTCTTAAATTTGAATAAAATGACAATACTTGAATTGTTTATCCTTTACCCCCGGTAGATTGTGGCTCTGTAGAGTGTGAAGGATATTTCCTGCCTTCCAGTGCGCTGGTATGCTAGTAAAAATGGAGTACTTCTTGTGTAACCAGTTTTTCTTCTGCATTTTTCATTAAATAGGTGTTTGCTCTTATAATATCGTGAGTGCCCTCTGATTCTTGTTGTATGATGTGTTATCTTCTTCCTGAAGCTTGAGCCCTTGCAGAGAGAGCAGAACGTGCTCTGGGTTCAATGTGTGCAGTTTCTGTAAACCCCTGAAGGTGCTCTGCCTATTTCCCTTCCAAGTCAGTATCTGTACATAAACCTGGTTTTGGTCCAGGATAAACCGCAGGGATCTTCCTCTCATCCTGATGCTCTTCAGCCTGACAAAATTAATTGCAAATTGGACAACGAGTTTCAGCCTGATTGGTCGAGGCGCATTCAGGACTTTGCATTAAGTGGCTGTCCGCTTACGCTGTTCATTTTTCATCATTGAGGTAATTACCTCCATCTGAGCGTCAAGGAACCATTGCTTTGTTCCCCTTTAAGCTGGTTTGTTCCTTCCTGGCAGGAATGACGACGCCGCCAGCCCCTTCCCAGCAGCACCGTCCGCCAGCCGTCAGCCCCCTCTCGTTGAGTGCAGACTCACGGCGACCACAGTCACAGCAGATGTCTCCTACGCTCTCCCCTTTGTCACCAATTACTCAGGTAGGAACTTACTCGGAGCATTCAGTTTTTTTAATCACAGAGTAATGGCTTTACTCTACCTAGGGAGAAGCTGGCTGTAACTTCATCTCTCTTGTTCTGTCATTTTCTTCTTTAAGTGTGTTCATTAATTCAGACCCTTAAGAAGAGAGAGTTTTGGGGATGTGACAGGTTTTACTTCCACTTTTCTAGAACCATGGTAAAAAACATTTATTAGGACGCTTTTCTGTAACGCTGTTGTCCCAAAAGTAGCTGTGAAATTTGAAAGACGTTTCTCTAATTCATGAGAGAAGCTCCATTATATTTTAAAATTTATTTTGGAAGTGTGACTCTGTGACTGAGTAGGTTCTCAATTTCTGACCTGGACATTTAAAGTATTTGTATATTGTACACTGGAGGTGATATTAAGTCTCTGGAAACACGTTCTTGACTGTTTCTGAACTTTTAGGTAACATTTTCTAAGTGCAAGATGAGATTGACTTAGTACAGTTCTCTTGGTGTGAAACTTGATATGCTTGAAAATGAAGGGAAATGACCTTGGATTTGTGGATGATTTTCCTCCTTTTTTTTAAGGCTGTGGCCATGGATGCATTGTCTCTGGAGCAGCAGCTTCCCCCATATCCATTTTTCACCCAGACAACTTCCCAGCAGCAGCAGCAGACCCAGGTGGCCAGTACCCTGCCCCAGAACACTCCTTTAATGCAGACCTCTGGTTTACAGCGAGGAACTCAGCTCCCCCCGCTCTCCGTCACGGTACCTTCGACCATCCCACAGTCACCTCCGGGCAGCCAGACCCAACCATCAATGGGAATAGACATCAACTCGGTAAGCTTGGGGACAGCTGGAAGTGACAGAGCTTTCATTTGGGAAACCTGGTCAGAGAGCCATGATAATAATTATATTTTTAGGCAGAGCCTGAAGTAGACTTAGGTTTTGGTTGAATCCACATACGAATGTTTTCTAGAGGAAAATTTGGTTTTAATGTACGCTTTGGTGGCCATAGTTTCATTAAAAAAGTGTCCCTTACAACTCCGTGTTTGATTAGACAGGCTTAAATACATCAGCGTTTATTTCATACCTTGCTGCTGCCGCTGCATTGATACATTTTCAGGCTGTTAAATGTGATGCACCCTCAACACACCGTGTGTTGCAAAGTGTGCTATAGCCTGGAGGAGTTAACAGAACTTTGATAAGGAGACCTGCTGACAAGCATTTTCCAAAAGCTGGAGAGAAGCAGGTCTTTTCTATACTTTTTGTATTTAGAACCCTTTCATTGTAAGGCACTTCAGAGCATACATTATTAGCTTCAGAAATTGAATTTGTGGCTGCCTTGAGATGCCCAGAAGAAACACACGTCTGCCTATGAGTTATGGACAGGTTTCTTTTCTTGGTTTAACATGGTTTGTTTTGAAATGTTCTGTCTGTCTCAGCATAGGAAAATCCAAAATTCAGAGGAATATCAGGGATATTCAGGGGAATATCTAGGCTCTCTAGGGCAGAATTTCACAGTTCGATGCTGCTCATTCTGCTCTGCCACTTTGGGTCCTGGTTGTCTGACCCGATGTGTCTTGACAGTGTGGTAGTGACAGTCATTGGTTTGAGGATGAGAAGAAATCATTGTCTATTGATCTAGCACTTGATTGTGGAGGACATTTTTAACAGTTTGTACTGATAAATTCTTCTTGAAAGAAGCTGCTTCCCTTTCAGGACTGGAAGGGGAAGAGGGAAGGACAAATCCAGCAGTGGAAAGGAGAGCGACCCGCCCAAAACGTGTCCCAGTGTTTTCATTCTAATACTCATGTAACTACCAGCACAGAGGATTCTGATTTTCATTCTTTGCTTTCTGTGTTGCTTTCCTCATCCTAAACTGCTTTATGACCTTAACTTTTAGGGTGCTGTGCTCATCTCTTAAAGCAACTGAAATAATTCATTAATAAACTTAAGTTTACAGTTAGTTTATCAAAAAACTGTTGAGCTGTATTACAGTCTCACTGACAGTTTCTGTGCAGTTTTTATAAAGCAGTATTGAAATTAATTTTGCTGTAGTTTGGATGTCTGCTGAAAATGTGGAAGTAGCAGTGTATAGGAAAAAGGGTTAAGACTTTCCTGAGATGTACAGAAGTCGATGTCAGAAAGCAGTGGTAGAACAGTGTTCTCCCACACTGCAGAGCTGTCTGCTTAAATTGCTCCTTTTCTTAGAACTACTGGATTTCCTCAATCATCTGTTAATTTCTAAAGGAAGTCTAATGAGAAGAGCTGTACTTACTATTTATGTTAATTAGTGTAGCATTCTAGTTCAATGCAATTAAGATGATTAATTTGTTCAAATCCAGAGTTCTTTATGACTTAAAAAAAAGGTGGATCTTTGAAAATGTGTTCTCAAGATGACTGAGAATAATGCGAATACAACTAATACCAACTTGAGCGGCACAGTGTGAATTCTCAGGCCATGTCCTGGGGTAAACGTGGCTTCGAGAAGAATCCAACCTGCGTGGTTGTACCCTGTGCTCTTGAGAACACCCTCGGACTCTTTCAGCCTAGGGCAGGGTGGTACAAGGAGGATTTCCAGAGTGCTGCAAACACGGCTTGAGAATGTGTGGGTATGGTAGCTGAATTGATGAATAAATGACATTGGTTTTGAGTTATTCCTAGCTTTCAAGACTTCTTTGCCCTAAATCATTAGCTGAGCAGATTTTTTTAAATTAAATGTAACTGAGAATAGGGAGAAAATATTTCAGGTTTTGCTGTATGACAGCACTGCCCTGCTCTCAGCCCCTCGGTCAGACAAAACCGCGCCATGCCGATACCTGAACTCTCCTTTTTGCGGCATTGTTCACAGTAACCGTGTCTCCATACACACCAGAACTGCTGAAGAGGATGGTTTCTCCCAGCTGTATACGCCACAAGTCGATAATTTTCCAACCTTCCATCAACCCCATGGTCTTTAATTCTGTGTTGTTCTGTAGGCCTCACTCCAGCAGTACCGCAGTAATGCTGGCTCCCCAGCCAACCAGTCTCCCACCTCTCCTGTCTCCAATCAAGGCTTCTCTCCTGGCAGCTCCCCTCAAGTAAGGGACTCTGTGCTTCCCCAGGCCTTGCTTCTCGTGTTTGTTTTTAGTTGAGTCTCTCCATTACTGACCCATAGTTGTCTCACTGTAACTGTGTGTGCCTCATGCATTACCGATGCCTCATCTTGTTTGCAGTTCCATGCGGTTCCAGAGTTTTTCAATAGCTGGTGAATTGCCTTTCGATTGATCAAAGCTACTGTTTGAACACTATTAAAACTCAATTATTTCTTTGGGGTGGACAAAACCTCCAGGTTAGACCCATTTTAATTAGAAAAATCACATAGGAGCTGACAGAGAAGGTTGGGAGGACAGGGAAAGAGAGAGAAAGGGAAACTGAGGTGCCTCAGGGGTAACTCCTGCAGCACTAAATATCACTTTTGTGGCCAAATGCGTTTACATCAGGACCTTATTTTACGTGGGAACATACACTTTGAAAGAAAACACTGGAGAAAACGCTCTTAAAATTAGGAGTTGTGCCTTGTGGCTTGCAAGTGACGGGTTAGTGAGCACGCTTTCTTGCATGCTAGCTGGTTTTTCTTCCTGTGTATGTAGATATGCATACATCCACGTGTCCTGTACACCAGCGGTAGCTTGATGTGTGTAATCCTATGAAGGGGAATTTTTGTCTGCCAGCAGCAAGACAGTTAAACCAAGGAGGTCTTTGGGGGTGCCCCTAATGTAAGGGAGTGAGCACGTTTTCAGTACAGAAATAATCTGATGCTGCCCTTTTCCTAAGCCCCACCTGTAGAAATGAGGTGCAGGACATTCTGAGTCTGAAAATCCATTTTCTATTTCATTGTTTAATGTTTAAGGCTGTAAGGAGGATCCTGTCTAAGTAAGCACTGCCCCTTCATGGTTCCAAAGCAGAAGCCTCATCTCTCCTTGCCATTAGCTAGAGATAGGTCACTGGTAAGCTCAGAAATAGATGCGAGTGTCAGGACTGTCTGGATTTTCTTAACCCTTGCTTAAATGCTTCTTCACTTCTCTCTTCTGCTACTTCTCCCAGTGCTGCTGTGCTCTGTGTGCGGCTCAGAGAAACCAAGCAAACCGACTCCACCGGGCTGCCGCGTTGAGCAGAGCTGTTGCCACTCTTGTTGCAAATTCTCAGGTCCAGTTCTCATTTGGGCAGCGTGTCTGATTTTGATTTTTGTCTTGAATTTCTTCCCCCCTTGACTTCTCAATAGCTCTTCCTTGGCTTTGTCCGCGGGCTTGTTGCCACAGCTCAGTCCACAGCACTGTGAAGCACACGCTTGAGTCTCATTTTTCCTCCTGGGCCTGTTTTATCCTGTAAACTCTGTGTTCAAATGGGACACTGTAATTCTGCTTGCTACAGCACTGGCCTCTTAAATACCAACACAATTCTTTATTTTTGCTAAATTAAAAACAAGGTGGCTTTCCAGCCTCTGTCAGTGAACCAGAAGCTTGCAGTGGCGAGCGAGCTCTCAGTGGCGATGGTCGCAAATATTAAATGTAGAGAGAAGCGATGGGGGAAGAAAACGCAGTTGGGAAGAAAAATTTGGGTTGGTTGTGATGATGGGGACAGCTCCCAAATAGCAGGACCCATTAGATGTGCCAAGAAGGAAGGCGGAGTGGTTGCAGCAGCAGAACGTGCCCGACGAGAAGCAGTCTGGCACCGGCTGACAGGCATGGAATAAAGTAGGAGTGACCAGGTGGGCGTCCTCCTCTCGCTCCCGTTCCTCCAATTAATTTTAGGTTAAATCCACAGCATATCAGTGCGGTGAGTGACATCCTCCAAAAACAGAAACCTGCGGTGGGTTTTTGACCGCACACGGTTCATTCACCAGAAGTTCTTTTTCATCTCTCCGCATCTCCAGACCGATTTGCTCGTGTGTTGTAGACGTGTGTGCGTGTTACACGAAGGTCCTCCTGTTCACACACGGATTGAAAAGCTCTGATTGTAGTTCTCAGCTCGGTGTTTGCATGGCTTTTCATTGACGGTGGCTCGTTTATTACTACTTTGCTTCTCTCCTCAAACACCTGGCACACTGTTCCGATTAGATAGAAACCTGCTTTATTTTAGTACAATAGCTGTGTGCTGGATAACATGGTTTGTATTTTTAGATGAATAATTTAAGCCAGGGGTTTTGTGGTTTGGGTTTTGGTGTTTTTTTCCTTGCAGTCACCACATCATTAACCCGAGAAGATGTACTGTTGACAAAACAGACCTCCTCTAGCGTTTCTGGAGAAGATGGTGTTAGCAAGATGTTTTTCGCAGAGTCGTCAATAAATTATCCTAGGACTCGGAAGTGTTGAAGTAATGACATTTCCAGTGGATTTCCTTTGGGAGTTTCAGTGCTTACAGATGTAATAACCAGGATACTTCAGAGCTGAGGAATAAATACGGGCTTGTATGTTTTGTTAGGGGTTACTAAGGTAGACTTGCACAAGTGAGTTTGGTCTCCTGTTTAGTATTTTGCCTGTTGCCCAAACTTTTTAGGATGGGAACAGTGCTTAGCAGAATACAAAGATTTTAGGTTTTCTGAGAAACTCCTGTAAAAATGAAATGTCAGAAGTTAAAGGAAGAAAATACCTTGATCCTCTTTGGTGGTTTAAAGAAAATTGTTGGTTTTTTCCTTTTTAGTGCTTTGCTTTTCCTCTCACTGGCTGTAATGTGGCTCTTGCTTGTGGTGGTTGGTAACTTCCTCCATGCGAGGGATAGAGCAGCCGCTGCAGCGTTGAGGACCAGATGATGAATTGGGAAAACCAGCTCCAATTACAACCATTTTCCATTTTTACGTGCTCCTAAGGAGGCCATCGAGCAGGCGTTAAGCTGCAAAGATGCCATTATTGCTCTGTGCTTCTTGCCGTGACAGATCATAAATGCCCAGGAAAGTGAATCAGAATCTTATTTTTGCCCATAAAACCCCATTCTCGGCTCAGGCTCCATTTAATCAGTTGTGAGGATGTGCTGGCTTCACTTCTTTGAACCATTTCTTACTGAAGAGTCACCGCACGATCTTCCCTGACAAAGACCTGGAGTTTTTGGAGTTTTGCGGCATGTGCTGAGCTTGCAGCCGCCTTCCTTCACAGGGGCTCATGCTCGGACTACAAATTGCCCCCTCGATGCCACATTTATCCAAAAACATCTGTATAATGTGATCGCTGAGGGTTCTGGCTGCAGACAGGAAGGGTTCTGCTGCTTTAAACAGAATAAATTGTTGCTTCCGAGAGAAAACTTTTAGCCTCCCTGTTTTAAAGTGTAGATGAACCAGTTGGGAAATGCTATGCAAGGTATTGGATTTATTTTTTTGAAGGCTGATATAAACGCTTCATGCAAATTGTCTTTTCTAGGTGCTCTCTTTGTCAGTAGAGGGTTGGTTTTTTTTTTCAGCTGGAATATCAGAATTTGTGGCAGTTTTAAATAAGAGGGGATCTCTCTGTGATTTCTATCTGGCAATTCTTTGGGACAGTAATACTGAATAGTATTAAAACATTGGCCTCAAATTCTCGGTCACCTTTAGAATAATTGATATGTGATGGAGAATAACTGAGATATGCTTGCCGTTGCTAGAGGGGACAGCAAACTTAGGGAGGCTGAGGATTTCCTCCTGTGATTCTTGCCAGTAACGGGCTGTACCGGGCTTTCTCATGAACTGTTCTGGTCTGCAGCTCAAGTGAAATGACTTTAAACGTGGATTTTCGTTGGCACGTTGCTGTCTTGGTGCAGCTGGTTGCAGGAGCGGTGACCAGCTTTGCATTGCGTTTTGTCTCCACGTGCAGTTGAATTCTGTCTGGGGTTCGTCTTTCACCCAAAACCACACAAATTCACCGAAAAAGCTGAAGCTGCACTCGTCTGTACCCATAAACCAGAAGTTTTCTGTGTTGTGTGTCCTCCGCGAGGAGGTTTGTTTGGTTTATTTGACTGTTGTGTGCTTACCGAAAGGCAGCGTCGCTGGAAGGGTTTGTGTCTTGGAGGGAAACGCTGCTGAATGACTTTGCTGACGGCGAGTGGCTGTTAGTGATGAGGGCACTGCTAATGCAGGTGGAGGAGGATCGGTTGGAAGGCTCAGTCGCTGCACACCGTGGGGATGTCTGTTTGTGAGATCTGTGCACCATAAAGACTCTGTTTTGTTTTCAGCATTCTTCCATTCTGGGGAGTGTATTTGGTGACTCCTATTATGATCAGCAGATGACAGCTAGGCAGGCTAATGCCCTATCCCATCAGGTGAGCAAATTCATCTCGGATTTTCAGCACTATTTCGGCCACTTTCAGCTTAAAATAACTATAGATCGACTTCGGATTATTTTCTGTGAGATCACATTTTGTTCATATCATTTTGCTTCTGTTATTTTTAGTTTGCGACACTCAGGGCTTTCTTTTCTTCTGTTTGGTTTGGTCCCCCCCCACCCCTTTCCTTCCCCTTCCTCCCTCTTAGCCATTGTAGCAGATGTTTTTAAAGGTGTTCTGCCAAGTTTATTGCATTAAAAATAATGAAAATAGAATAAAAACCACATTTCTGGCCACAGTTGCATTTGGGAAGGATTCACTTGGAGGTGGTAACAATATTTACTCCCGAATTCGGCATGCAACCTGTGCACGGCACCTAAACCTCGCAGGCGGACTCTCGCCTTCGTTAGTTTGGCCAACCGGGGCTTTGATTAATCCAACTGTGAAATGTGCTCTGGTAGTAGGAAAAAGTGGGATGGCTTCTGCGAGGTGATGCTCGATGGGCAGATACCTGCGTTAGTAGCATGCATTATGGGTTTATTTACTTTGTTTTAAAGCTGCTTTTCCTTTTGTTCTTACAATATCCAAAGTAACGATTTGATTTTTGCATCCACCCTCTCCTCATTCCCCTGCACTCTGAATTTGGCAGTAAACTATTCTGGAAAGTGAAGTGAAAATAGATGGTATTTTGATCCTCGAAACCTAAAGATGAATTTGTTTGCCTGTCTCTTTCAACGTTACTTCCCGTACTTGAGCTTTGTAAGTTGTTTTGCTGTTATTTCTTGCTGCTTGGAAGTAATAATTCTTTTGTGCCTTGGTCTTCAGCTTGAACAGTTTAATATGATAGAAAACGCCATTAGTTCCAACAGCCTGTACAGCCCCTGTTCCACCCTTAACTACTCCCAGGCAGCCATGATGGGACTCACCGGCAGTCATGGCAGCTTGCAGGACTCGCAGCAGCTCAACTACTCCAGCCATGGGAACATCCCCAACATAATTCTTACAGGTGAGGAACATCACGCTTAACCGACGAGTAAAACCCTGGCGGTGTTTCTGTTCGCTGTGCGGCATTAGAAGCGAGCCAAGGCAGGACGAGGGGGTTGTTTGAAGGTTTGGGGTCTTCCCTGTGTGCCAGGGACCCCGACGGCTCTCGTTTAATCTTAACAAACAGGTAGAGCAACAACAGCAGCACCAGTCATCTTACAGACTTTCCCTGCCGCTGAATTTGGTGGATCCTCTGTCACAGCGAGGGAGAGGCGGTGAAAGCCAAGCTCCTCCCTCTGCTGCTCCGTTTGAGTTTGCCAGCAAAGGGTTTTTCAGTGTCTCATATGGTAGCCAATCTGGTTACGGTTGGACGTTTGGAAACAGTTCCTGCACAGACTGTCGTTCAGGCCCTGCTTCAGCCAACGACTCTTGCTTGTTAGAATCACAAAAATTAACATTATTGCTCCTACACCTGAAGGGGAGAACAGAGACTGAAGTGACACCACTTTGTGACCCCAAATACCTGTGTATGAAGTGGGTTTTGTGTTAGGCTGCCATGATGACTTTGAGATGCTCTAACAACTCTTAATTCATCCGGTTGGAGGTGTGGATAGATTTGTCTCCTCTGAACTTCAGCCTTAGTTCATTAAACTATTCCGGCATTTTTGCAAGCTGTTTTATGACTCGTCTGCCTGGAGAATTTGTATTTGCTAACTCCTGCAACCCCTTTCTCTTGCTTTTCCCTGCAGTGACAGGAGAATCCCCCCCCAGCTTATCAAAAGAACTGACCAGCTCTTTGGCAGGCGTGGGCGACGTCAGCTTCGACGCGGATTCCCAGTTCCCTCTGGATGAACTCAAAATTGACCCTTTAACCTTGGATGGACTCCACATGCTCAACGACCCGGACATGGTCCTCACCGACCCCGCCACAGAGGACACGTTCAGGATGGACCGGCTGTGAAGCGCCGCCAGCGGGCGCGTGGGAGATGACACTTGGTCCTGGAACCCGCCTGAACTCGAGAGCCCAGCGGGTCACTTGTGTCCAAATGGGAGCCGCCGAGCGCAGCAGCTGCGTCCTGGACCGTGTGTCCCATGAGTAAAGCTTTGTTGTTCTAAGCTTGCTGTGCTGCAGACCCCTCCTCCCTGTCACGCCGAATTTCACCCCTTCAGCCGCTCGTTGCCATGAATGAGTAAGGAGTTTCCATCGGCCTCTTCCTCTCCAGCTTCCCCCCTTCCTCCCACCAAAGCTCCAGCATTGTCGGTTTATCCTTTGCACTAGAAAGGGGGTGGTTTTGGGCAGGCGAGGAAGGTTCAGAGCCACAGGGAGGGAGATTCTGACGAACCAAATTGGTGGCTGCTGTTTGAGACAGGGAGGGGGAAGCGTTGCCTGTGCCCCCCCTTATCCCCCCACCCAGTTGAAAAGCAAATCTCTAGGAGGGGGCTGGGGGGCTTGGGCAGTTTTGGCTCTGCTTTGTCGAGTAAAAACGCTTCTTCCTTTCCTGCTCTGCCGTCTCTGTTCCAGGTCTGTCCCCTCGCTGTCGTCCTGCGCCCGCTGCCTCCTCTCCTGCCCTGAGCAAACGCGCGTAACTTGACAAAGCCGAAAAGCAGCCTGGCAGCCCCA